CGACTCGTATACCCTATACAAACAGGCTAAATGTGACTTCCGACGTTGCAAAAGACAGGCTGAGAGACAATGGAATAAAGAAAAATATATTGAAATAAACTCAGCATGTGAAGTAGATATTGCTGAATTCTACAGGATTGTAAAGAAACAAAGACAATCTAAGACTGTAAATACACACCTCAAGTACAAAGAACGCTGTTGCAATACACCACCAGAGGTGTGCAACTTGTGGGTGACTACTATGCAGATTTATTATCACCTCTCGACCGGCCGGAGTTTGACAACGACTTTCGTGTTGAGACGGACTCTAGAATAAACAACATCTCAAAGATACCACTTCTGGACGATGATCCTATACTGAAGAGAGACATAGAAATACACGAACTAAAACAACTGAAACAAAGCTTAAAAATGAGAAAGTCACCAGGACCGGACCAAATCACAAATGAACATATCTATTTCGCTGGAGATATGCTTCTAAAACACTTAACTCAACTGTTTAACATGATGATACGAACATGCTACAGCCCTGCACTGTTGAGATCTGGAACAATTATTCCAATACATAAAGGAAACAATAAGGACAGATCGGATCCTGCAAATTACAGAGGTATCACTCTGACGTCAGTGGTGGGAAAACTGTTCGAAAAGATCCTATTAGAGAGAATTGAGAGACATATCAAATATATGGAGCCCGACTTCCCACATAGATTACAATGTGGCTTCAGGCGAGAACACGGTGCAAACATAGCTACCTACATACTCAAAGAAGTCATATATTTCTATACGGAAAGGTCTTCCAACGTATACACTGTGTTTCTTGATAATGAGAAAGCGTTTGATCGCATCTGGCACAATGGACTACTCCTAAAATTATTCATCCTTGGTGTGCAAGGGAAAGCCTGGCATATCATACGTCAGTCGTATCACGAATCTACTGCATGTGTCAAATATGCCGGTGAGACAAGTCGAACGTTCCCAATCGGACAAGGTGTAGGACAAGGACGTGTCTTATCCGCCTGGATGTTCCTTGTGTATATTAACGAGCTTATAATCCGCCTTGACGATTTGAAACAAGGTGTTATGCTTGGGCGTGATCACTTCCCAGTTGTCCTACTCGCGGATGACACAACTCTCATAAGCTCAACAAGTAGTGGCATATGCATGTCCTTACAGACTGTACATCAATATGCTTGCCAATGGAGATTGACATATAATGCAAGAAAAAGCTGTGTTCTGGTGTTTAAAGGTGGAAACAAAATCAACCAACCAGGTTCTTTTAGACTAGGTAACCATATACTGGAAATGAAATCGAACACAATATATGCAGGTTCTATTATCAGTACTCATTTAGAATCCGAAAGGACCAGGAGAGCTTGCGCTAAGGCGAGGAAGAATTTGAATTCCCTGAGAGATATTGGTCGAAGAGCAGGTGGTCTGAACCCAGTCTGCTGTATGAACATATGGCGTAGAGTAATAATTCCAGGTGCCTTCTACGCGTGTGAACTGTGGTCAAATATGTCCAAGACAGAACACAATGAAATTGAAAAACTCCAGCGCTACTTTGCACGTAATGTACAAAATTTTCATGTAAGATCTTCGACCGTTGCAACTATTCAGACGCTGGGATTGTGGACAATGACATCCGTGATTGACAAAATGAAGCTGATGTTCCTTGGGAGGATGTGTAGAAGCAGCCACAGATATGCCCCGAAAAAGGTGTTCTATTTCAAGTGTGCTCAATATATAACAGGCAGTGACAAAAGTAAGTCTGTAACACATGATCTACTCAATGTGGCAAAGAAATATGAATTATGGACCATAATAGTTCACTTTATGAAAACTAACCACTTTCCATCCAAGGATGTGTGGAACAAAACCGTACAGACTAAAATAACAGAACATGAAACTGCTCATTGGCACACGAGTCTGCGAGATCACCCTGAATTAAACAGATTTATTAAAATTCCCAGTAAGCTTGTACCTCATAGACTGTGGAATATGTGTATTCTGTACAATATACCAACTAGACCAATGTATGCACTTGTGAAACTAGGAACACTACCAATAACACCCGGACAGTGTTTAATGTGTGATGAGGAGTGCGATGACATAATAAAGCACCAACTGCTATGTTGTACAGCTTTAGCTGATGCAAGGAACACCCTCTATGAACATCTATTTGACTCTTTAAACCTCGAACAATACATGCGTATTGAGGACTGTGCAGATGACGAAGTCAAACTTGTGACATTGCTAGGTGGTATAACCCCTATTGTAGAGGATATGAGCCTTGACAGATGGGCTGAATTCATATCTTCTGTATCACGAGACATAAGCTCCTGGAACCTGCGATCACTGCTCTATCTATAGACAGTACATCTCATACCAGGACCAGGACATGTAAATATTCAGTATTGCCAATTTCTCTGCATAATATAATGTTCGTGTAAATATGCTGTGTTAACATGATTCCAAATGTATATCACTCTCCGAAATTAATGGAGGAAATAAAGATCATTCATTCATTCATTCATTCATTATGGGTAAAGGGGTCCTAGTCGTATGTTACTACGTGTAACCTGTACATTGTGGGTAAGGGTGTCCTAGTGTTATGTTACTACTTGTACACTGTACATTGTGGGTAAGGCGGTCCTATGTTTCTACTTGTACACTGTACATTGTGGGTAAGGCGGTTCTATCTTAATACATGTACACTGTACATTGTGGGTAAGGGGGTCCTAGTCTTATGTTACTACATGTACACTGTACATTGTGGGTAAGGGGGTCCTAATCGTATGTTACTACATGTACACTGTACATTGTTGGTAAGGGGGTCCTAGTCGTATGATTCTAAGTGTACACTGTACAATGTGGGTAAGGTGGTCCTAGTCGTATGTTACTACATGTACACTGTACATTGTGGGCAAGGGGGTCCTAGTCTTATGTTACTACATGTACACTGTACATTGTGGGTAAGGTGGTCCTCGTCGTATGATTCTACATGTACACTGTACATTGTGGGTAAGGCGGTCCTAGTCTTATGTTACTACATGCACACTGTACATTGTGGGTAAGGGGGTCCTAGTCGTGTGTTACTACATGTACATTGTACATTGTGGGTAAGGCGGTTCTATGTTACTACGTGTACACTGTACATTGTGGGTAAGGGTGTCCTAGTCTTTTGTTACTACATGTACATTGTACATTGTGGGTAAGGCGGTCCTATGTTACTACGTGTACACTGTACATTGTGGTAAGGGGGTCCTAGTCTTATGTTACTACGGGTACACTTTACATTGTGGGTAAGGGGGTCTTAGTCGTATATTGCTACGTGTACACTGTACATTGTGGGTAAGGGGGTCCTAGTCTTATGTTACTATGTGTACACTGTGCATTGTGCGTAAGGAGGTCTTAGTCTTATGTTACTACATGTACACTGTACATTGTGGGTAAGGGGGTCCAAGTCTTATGTTACTACGTGTACATTGTACATTGTGGGTAAGGGGGTCCTAGTCTTATATTACTACGCGTACACTGTACATTGTGGGTAAGGGGGTCCTAGTCTTATGTTACTACATGTACACTGTACATTGTGGGTAAGGGGGTCCTAGTCTTATGTTACTACGTGTATACTGTACATTGTGGGTAAGGGGGTCCTAGTCTTATGTTACTACGTGTACACTGTACATTGTGGGTAAGGGGGTCCTAGTCTTATGTTACTACGTGTACACTGTACATTGTGGGTAAGGGGGTCCTAGTCTTATGTTACTACATGTACACTGTACATTGTGGCTAAGGGGGTCCTAGTCTTATGTTACTACGTGTACACTGTAGATTGTGGGTAAGGGGGTCCTAGTCTAATGTTACTAAATGTACAACGTACATTGTGGAGAGCGGGGTACGTTAGATATGAAAAAGCGAAATGTACTTCAAGGGAAAAGTAACATTCTAGTGTTATATGAAACAATTTAAAAATGGCATGTTCAGATTATAGCTTCAGTCGTTGTAACTTGTTTGATAGGCATTACTTAGAAGTTGTCGGATGACAAGATAGACACAATTTTATGGATAACAACTTCTTTAATACTGTAAAAAGCGACGTTTCGGTATAGATCCTTATACCGTTGTCAGTCGTTGTGTTCTTCAAATCCGTTATTGCGACTCTCCGTTCCCCTTTGACATATGCAGCTGTTTAAAGCGAACTTCCCTTTGCAGTTGTTTTTTTATCCCAGCGTGCAGAACCAAACGACTGGGGCCTATATTGAAAAGTGGTTTGTTTTAAATGCAGACCAATTGGTATTTGAATACACCACTCCACAAATCTGTTTATTTCTGAAGCCTAGATTGCCGGTATTCCATCCAAGATACCAGGTGCTGTCAGTATAGACTTTACGATGTTGCATGCTCGTTCTACGACGATTTCAAAGACCGTCAGATGACTCTTGCTCAAAAGTTGACCTTGGTAAAACCTTCAAAAAGTTTTATGATAGACATATTTGGAGGACAGTTGACTTGCCTGTGCATGTGTTTGTGACGGGTTCCACCGATGACGCTCACCTTTTCCTGAAAACCTTCTATCATCACTGTTTAATTAAATATAACCTTTAACATCACCATTGATAGAGATAGCTTGATAGAGATTTCTTAGGATTATGAAAAAAGTTTTGTTGCTTGTATATCTAAAACTATTAAGTGTATTCCATTCTAACATCAACCGACAAGAGCGCAAATTTGAAAATGTGCGTCGGTAAATGATCGAATTAATAAATTCACACTGTATTCTATATTATTCCTTACATTCTATATTACACATTTCGATTTCCGAAGATTTGAGTGAAGAAAAGGATAAATTTGAGTATTTTATGGGGATAAGTTAAAATGAAATTGAAAATACAAAATGTACAAAGACCCAGGACTTTGATAAAAAAACATCGAGGCAAAAGTGTTTATTTCTTTGTATGTAGAAAGTCATTTGTTAAATCTAAATCTGTCTTCAGACACCTATGACTGTGTGGTGGCAGCTGGTTGCTTCAACATGGGACTCCTACCTTGCGCAGCGCTAACGGAGATAGCTCGTCTGGTGAAACCAGGTTTGAGGAAACAAATGTGTTCGATACTAAAGATTAGACTCATTTGAAATGATTTAAACAAATTGTCGAAGCGCATCATCCTTATCGAACAAATTGACAGATATGGTTGTCCATACATTATCGTGTGTGTTTTCTTGATGATCACTTCTAAACATGTTGTGAAACAAATCTTATATCAACTATTTCAGTTGTCGAACTAAAGCAAAGAACATACTCCTCGCTTTGAAACATATGCAATTTTTAGCTCAAAAAGGGTCCAAATGTATCGTTAGTTTTGTCTAAACACGTTTGGGATCTGCAGGGGCCATGATCTTATCTCATATCAACAACTTATACCAAAAATAGTTTAGCAGTGTGTTTAAAACTTGGCATGCTTATGAAAAACACGTATTTAGTAACCGTTTCTACGAAAAAGTGGGATCCCTTTCGTGGTGTACTGTCGTATCAGTCTGAATCATTATATGAAGTTCCTCAAGAAATAAGTGATTGAGACCTGTATGACCAGTACTTCAGTTATGTAGCGGCGTGTTGCCAGAATGCTGGAAGAAAGCCTCAGTGAAACTAGTCGTAGATCGTATGCCCCTTTGAGCAGGGTGGCGGGAGTCTACGAATAAACATCTACAGTTGCCTTCACTGAGCGGGGCCATGGAGATGAGTAATAGTTGGAAAGATGTAAACAAACTCTTAAAAGAAACCGTATCTTTATCTCGCACATGTATAGAGGTTATCACGCATTAGAAATAAACATTGTACTATAAAAAGTTTATTCCTAATACAGGATATTTACCATCCCCAAACACACAAGCGTGATAACCTCTTTATCATATAATGCAATTCTTTAATTCTGTGCTTGAACATCGCTTTCCCTTTCTCACAAACATTACCTAAACATTGCTGGTTTTCCTGGAATGCGCGCATTAATATTTATTACGTCACAATCAAGTCAAGTACGTCACGTGATGTGTCAGTCGGACAGTGACAGTAGCCAATATTGTTCCATCTGAAATCTGTTTCTTATACAGTGGCGAAGTAACATGTACGTTAAGAGCAGTCGGATATACACACAGCGACAAAACGAAATAAGGTAACAATTCAAGCAACATATTTCGTCCAAATTCGACTATTTTCATTTGTGGAAAATGTGTCAAGCCGCAGAGGTCGACAAGCAAAGATATGGCCACTGATCCCGCTTGGCTAGGCCTTGTACCCTCGCAAAATTGTTTCGAAATTTATATATCCAAAGTTGCCTTGGTCTCCTTATAAAATGCCTTAGCTACGTCACATTTGGACACTGATTTTCTGTATATTAGACTGTTCTTTTGATAATGATAGCAATTATCCCTGTAGTTTATCCAGATTCCCGATGGTTAATTCTGACTCGGTCGCCGAATGACAAGGGCGACGCCATGTTTGTTTATAAACACTGAAAGTAGTCCCTACTTGACCTTTGATATTTGCATCTCTATCCGCATATGACCCCAACGGATATCGTTTTTTTGCGTTGGCTTTATCCTGCCGAGAAACCTACCGATTATATGAAAAATAATATTATGTGTAAATTCGAAATACATAAATAATTATGAAAATACTTTTTAAAACATTCCTTACTATAAATTATAACACGTAACACGTGTGTGTTAGTCTCATTGATCAAAGGGATCAAACTGTGTAATGGGGACAAACAGGAAACGTTGACCCAGTTTCCATGAAGCGAGCACATTTTGTACAGCGGCATTTACTGACGCGTCAGGCTACAGGAGTTAACGTGTAATAAGCAAAGCAGAAGGGAGGTAACTCTCAGAGACGTATGATTCCTGCCTGTATATACTACGCACTCACAACGTTGTGGGTTTCAATTTGAACAATATCTGCATATCTGCATTGATTACAAAATAGTATTACAACAAATTATCTATTACTTATGAAAACATTACTAATGACAAAATATTCATAATTTTACCGCTGTAGATACAAAACCATTTAGGCCACTCCGTACAGCATTTGTGTCACTGCCATAATTGTTTGTTCAATTCTAGACAATGCAACATCTGCTGCTAACATATGATGTACCAATGTCGTTTTATGTCATTCCACTCAGTTAGTTTTAAATATTTATCATGTAAAGCATTATGATTGTGTTCTATTAATGCCTCTTGTTCCATGAAAACAATAACAATTTTTCAGGAAACCATATTACTAGTTTTCCATGATATGCTTGTTTTCTATTCTTATGTTACATATGTATTTTCTCAACTAAAACGTGCCATGTTCTCGTTCCTGATTCTGAGTTTGCCCCATGCAAATTAGGATTCGTTTAACCTTCAGGGTTACATATGTGCGCTTTATTACAGTATAGATACTGGCAGCAGTAGGTAGTGCTGATCCTCTGGATCAAAGTTTAGTCAAACACACTAAGACATGTGCAAACCACTCACTCAGTTCCGCTTTTAATGTTTGCCATTTTGGTCTTCTTCAGGGCCCAGTTTCACAAAGTATTCGTTGAGCTACGGCTGTCGGAACCAAAACATTCGAACATAGACCTGCGACAGAGGTAGATCGTTGAGCTGCGGCTGTCGTAACCAAAACATTCGAACATAGACCTGCGACAGAGGTAGATCTTTGAGCTACAGCTGTCGTAACCAAAACATTCGAACATAGACCTGCGACAGAGGTAGATCGTTGAGCTACGGCTGTCGTTACCCACACATTCGAACATAGACCTGCGACAGAGGTAGATCGTTGAGCTACGGCTCTCGTAACCAAAACATTCGAACATAGACCTGCGACAGAGGTAGATCGTTGAGCTACGGCTCTCGTAACCAAAACATTCGAACATAGACCTGCGACAGAGGTAGATCGTTGAGCTACGGCTCTCGTAACCAAAACATTCGAACATAGACCTGCGACAGAGGTAGATCGTTGAGGTACGGCTGTCGTAACCAAAACTTTCGAACATAGGCCTGCGACAGAGGTAGATCGTTGAGCTACGGCTGTCGTAACCAAAACTTTCGAACATAGACCTGCGACAGAGGTAGATCGTTGAGGTACGGCTGTCGTAACCAAAACTTTCGAACATAGACCTGCGACAGAGGTAGATCTACGATCGCTTTGCCAAGCAAAATTAAGGCCCTCGCATGGAAGATGTATTTTCTGTTGTTGTAGGTGGACTAGTGTGCTTTGCCGTGTTTGACCATAACTTCTCGGCAGTGCCCGAGTACAACAACCGCCTAGGACCGCTCATGTCGAGGATGGAGAAGGAAGGAGTGTGGGACCTATTCGACAAGAAAAGACGAACGGATTCGGATATGACCGGTGCTGTGGAAACTGTCTTCAGATATACCATTAAGGCATCTGAAATAGACGCGCTGCCACTTCTTGCCGGTTTCCCCGCCAATGGTTCTAGCATCAAGATATATAATTCCAATAGTATTTGCAATTAAAGATTGGACATACAGACATCGACTTCTTATGATTATGGAAAGGGTTTTGTTGCTTGTGTTGACGTGACACACACTAAATAGTATACTGTAAACCATCTGTATAGTCAATGTCGCTTGTATTAGTGACATTCACTAAATAGTATACTGTAAACCATCTGTATAGTCAATGTCGCTTGTGTTGACGTGACATTCACTAAATAGTATACTGTAAACCATCTGTCTGGTCAATCTCGCTTGTGTTGACGTGACATTCACTAAATAGTATACTGTAAACCATCTGTATAGTCAATGTCGCTTGTGTTGACGTGACATTCACTAAATAGTATACTGTAAACCATCTTTATAGTCAATGTCGCTTGTGTTGACGTGACATTCACTAAATAGTATACCGTAAACCATCTGTATAGTCAATGTCGCTTGTGTTGACGTGACATTCACTTAATAGCATACCGTAAACCATCTGTATAGTCAATGTCGCTTGTGCTGACGCGACATTTACTAAATAGCATACCTTAAACCATCTGTATAGTCAATGTCGCTTGTGTTGACGTGACATTCACTAAATAGTATACTGTAAACCATCTGTATAGTCAATGTCGCTTGTGTTGACGTGACATTCACTAAATAGTATACTGTAAACCATCTGTATAGTCAATGTCGCTTGTGTTGACGTGACATTCACCAAATAGTATGCTGTAAACCATCTGTATAGTCAATGTCGCTTGTGTTGACGTGACATTCACTAAATAGTATACCGTAAACCATCTGTATAGACAATGTCGCTTGTGTTGACGTGACACACACTAAATAGTATACTGTAAACCATCTGTATAGTCAATGTCGCTTGTGTTGACGTGACATTCACTAAATAGTATACTGTAAACCATCTGTATAGTCAATGTCGCTTGTGTTGACGTGACATACACTAAATAGTATACTGTAAACCATCTGTATAGTCAATGTCACTTGTGTTGACGTGACATTCACTAAATAGTATACTGTAAACCATCTGTATAGTCAATGTCGCTTGTGTTGACGTGACATTCACTAAATAGTATACTGTAAACCATCTGTATAGTCAATGTCGCTTGCGTTGACGTGACATTCACTAAATAGTATACCTTAAACCATCTGTATAGTCAATGTCGCTTGTGTTGACGTGACATTCACTAAATAGTATACCTTAAACCATCTGTATAGTCAATGTCGCTTGTGTTGACGTGACATTCACTAAATAGTATACTGTAAACCATCTGTATAGTCAATGTCGCTTGTGTTGACGTGACATTCACTAAATAGTATACTGTAAACCATCTGTATAGTCAATGTCGCTTGTGTTGACGTGACATTCACTAAATAGTATACTATAAATCATCTTATGGTCAATATGTATATTAATTAAAGAAGCCGTTTGATAACGGACATTACTTTTAATAAGATACAAGTGGATGTTGACTCACTACATCATGATGTGGGATTTGCGACTGGTGTACATAGAACAAACAAACCTTTGTTGAAAACCTTTGTTGAAAACCTTTGTTGAAAACCTTTGACATCCCACTAATGTAATGAGCCTTTGGGGACCGTTCCGAACATTTCTTTCGCTTCTCATGTACATCCGGACTTTCAATATGTCCAGTGAACAATATTTGTTTTTCTGAACCCACATGGGAAATTATTTGTTCAAATATTATCTGGAATCAATGCTAGCCCACTCGAATACCACATGGCCCCGACCATACAGCTTGAGGATACAATACGATGCCACGTAGTGCCTATTTAAAAAAAATTTATATTCAAACCTTTCAGGTTTATTTTAATGTATTATAGTTCGGAATTCGTCCCCGCTGGTATGAAAACAGCTAACATGTTCGTATATAACAATGTCATCGGGTAAAAATGCGATAAAATATGAAACAGATTGCTGGCCGTGACGTAGCTGCTTATGTATCATAGCAACCAGACGCTGGGGGTCCGTGATTATAGTCTTAACTGCTGGTTTCAGATCCATCATTGCAACTCACACAGGCTGGTGTGATATTGTTCGGTGACTACGGCGTAAAACAACACACACCTAGATGTACGCACACTGTCGAGGGGGTTTCAGTCTCTACACTAAGTGAGCAAACACACCTCTTAACAAATTGCGTTTTTCTCCGGCATTGACGCTTTACATTATGAAAAGGGAAAGTGTTTTGTCGTTTATTTTCATTTGGACGAGACGTGCGTGACGTCACCACCATACTGGCATTCATATGTCTGGTAGTTTGGTAGTTTGGTAGTTTGTTGTTTTGTTTGTTTGTTTGTTTGTTTGTGTTACGCTGCAGTAAACATAGTCTACCTACATCACAATATTAAAATTCAATTGAAGGATCATAAAATCTGCTTTCGAGACACATGGTTGACAAGATATTACAGCCCGGTTTCCTTGGGTATGCTGCCCTGGCGCTACACTGACCCAGGCCATAACTGGCGCTACACTGACCCAGGCCATAACTGGCGCTACACTGACCCAGGCCATAACTGGCGCTACACTGACCCAGGCCATAACTGGCGCTACACTTACCCAGGCCATAACTGGCGCTACACTGACCCAGGCCATAACTGGCGTTACACTGACCCAGGCCATAACTGGCGCTACACTGACCCAGGCCATAACTGGCGCTACACTGACCCAGGCCATAACTGGCGCTACACTGACCCAGGCCATAACTGGCGCTACACTGACCCAGGCCATAACTGGCGCTACACTGACCCAGGCCATAACTGGCGCTACACTGACCCAGGCCATAACTGGCGCTACACTGACCCAGGCCATAACTGGCGCTACACTGACCCAGGCCATAACTGGCGTTACACTGACCCAGGCCATAACTGGCGCTACACTGACCCAGGCCATAACTGGCGCTACACTGACCCAGGCCATAACTGGCGCTACACTGACCCAGGCCATAACTGGCGCTACACTGACCCAGGCCATAACTGGCGCTACACTGACCCAGGCCATAACTGGCGCTACACTGACCCAGGCCATAACTGGCGCTACACTGACCCAGGCCATAACTGGCGCTACACTGACCCAGGCCATAACTGGCGCTACACTGACCCAGGCCATAACTGGCGCTACACTGACCCAGGCCATAACTGGCGCTACACTGACCCAGGCCATAACTGGCCCATAGTCGCCCCTGGCCGACACGACCTGTATTGACTATAGAAAAACGCGATAATGGGTTGTTAGAGATTTTTCTTAGCATTTTCAGCCATGCTGTTGCAATGTATACGTCACGAGAATGTTACTTTTAGTGAAGGAAACAATTATGTAAGCTGTTTCGAGACTCGAAAGTCATCGTCACATGGCTGAAATGTAAACAACAACACCACGCCCCTTTTCGACCGTGATATGAGCGTTAATATTTTGTGTCAGCTCACTGTTGTCACGCCTTTACTTTAGCAAATTTGATGACGCCAATTTCGCCGATTATCCCCCGTTTTCCCCCTTGTAAAATGGCAGAATTATTGAGCGTCCAGTATAATAACTTGTGTTTAATGATAGGTTCTGCTTTTTGTGGATTTTATTCACATGAAAAGGCATGTATTTGGCATGCGTTTTCTTATTACAGAATGAAAGTAATCCTAAATACATCAAATAATTTAGGAAAAAACAATTGATTAATTTCAATGTTGGGTTTTTGAATTATGGACTTACTTGTAAAAATACCGGGTCTGAATGGCATAATAAAAAGACTATGTTCTTTATTTAAAATGAATTTGGTACAGTGGCAAACACATCCATGTGTTTTCTCTTTTTCATAGGATGATGCAATAGCTATTGCCCTTAAAATAGAACAGTAGTCATGATGTGGCAATTAATAAACTAAAGACAGTTCAGCGTGAGGTTGTAGAAAACTTAATCAATAATCACACCATTGGCAGGTTTTCTACTGGCTATGGAAACCCACTATGCCATCCAACTGTACTAGATATCAGTGCCTTGTTTGAGATCCATTGACACCTCGCACTCTTACTCTTTAGATGGATGTATTTACCTGTAAACAGATATAAATGACATCAATATGATTGATGAGTCGAAGGAGAAAGAAGGTATTCCCTCGGCAATGGCGTAAAAGAAAGTGGCATTTGAAAGTGTCCACGTCACAGCGCCAGCTATGTGCACGAGATGCTGCTGGTAAGACAACCCTGAGTAAAATTGAGAGATGAAGCGTCCGTAAAATAAAAAAAGAGAGATAACTATTGGCCACTAACCCTAAATAATCCCGCGACAACCCTTAACCCTTGTACCTGACACCTGGGATTCTTATTCCTCAAACATTATGATCTTGGTACATATACCCTAACCCTTATCTCTTAACGCTTATACCTAAAACCTTACGTACTGAACCTTTGCTACTCCAACTTTACAGCCAATAACGTTAACCTAACCCTTAGACCTAAGTACTCATTCCATGAACCTAAACTCTTATACCTCACACCTCGCACTCTTATATCTTAACCCTGAAGCCCTAACCCTAACCCTTAGCCCTTCTACCTTACACCTTGCACTCTTATGACTTAAGCACTTGAGCCATATACCTTAACCCTTAACCCTCAACCATTATACCAAAAACCTTGCACGTTTATACCTTATACCTCAACTACTTGGGTATCCTTAAATCCTAACCCTTAACCCTTATACGTTACACCTTGCGCTGTTATATCTTTAGGGTTAGGGTTCGGGTTAGGATAGATTCTACCTTCCACACTGCTGTGTATGTTGGTCGTGACGCAAACGTCCTGTGTGAACAAATCTGAATGTAGATTCTACCTTTCACACTGCTGTGTATGTTGGTCGTGACACAGACGTCCTGTGTGAGCATATCTGAATGAAGATTCTACCTTCCACACTGCTGTGTATGTTGGTCGTGATTGATGTCCTGTGTGAGCATATCTGAATGTAGGTTCTACCTTCCACACTGCTGTGTATGTTGGTCGTGACACAG